CTATGGATAAGATCATAAGTAAACAACTCATTTAGAGGTACTTTTGATAAGGACCGTTGAATGTCCTACATTCCACACATTTTGCCTACATCCTGTCCACTTTTCTGCACAGGCTATCCACCCTGGGGCTCCTACACCCTTAGGGTTTTACTACTGGATCACCTATATATCCTGTAGCTCATAAATACTGCATGGGCTCTGCGTTGTTCACCTGGAAGGGGTTAGGCAAGGGATTAAGTAATCACTTCGACACTTCTGCAACACTACGTGATGTTCCAACTTTGCCTTTTACCAAATACTTTCCCGACTATTTTCAGGATCTTCCAAGATTGCCTCATATTTCACTTCAGTCACTTCGATGTAACTCTCATATTCGACTACATAGTAATTGCCATGATATGTTTGATGTTGCTCAGTGTGAGTTATGTACATTTATTATGATTACTTACCTCACCAGGAACAGGATATTGGACCCTTTTGCAAAACGGTTTGATCCATGCTATAGAGGTACATACATACGAGTAGCATTGAACTGAGGATAATTTTTTTCTGAATGGCTCCGAGAACGCCAAAAAAATGTGGAAACAACGGCTTTGGTTCGTTCCCCACCGAAAATAAATCTTTGAATTTCTTTGGTTTCCACTTTCCTGCGCTCTTCTATGCCTTATTTCGTTCACCAAACTAAAACCCACCGATATACAACTGTTCAACGCAACAAACAAATCCTATGGAGTGCGAATGTTAGGATTGTAAAAGTTTCGTTGCCTCAAGAGAAGTTTTCTACCTTTTTTGGCACTCCTATTGCCGATTAGAGGAAAATATCATCACTTTCGTGTCCCACGCACGTGCCCCTATAACGTGCAACACACTGTTCTGGAGAAGCGCTTCATGTCCTGCACGAACTCCCCGGTCAGAGAACTTATATTTGTAGAGAAAACGAATGGAAGATCACTCATAAAACATGGGCCGAACTAAAAAGAGAGACAAAACATTAGGTATCGTGCATATAAATTACGATCCTGGGCAAACTCCGAGCACAAGATGAATTGAAAAGGGAGTTATTCACCTGCATCATGCTCCTTCATCGTTCCTTGAAGCCGTATGAAGCCGTCAACCGTACAACACTTGATGTTATAAATTGCAGACCCTCATTGAAAGCATTGACAGGACGGTGAAAATGTAGTTTGGGGGGCCACTCATAATATCTAATCGAACTGGCAATATCTAATCGAAGTGGAGCTGCGGTAGGGCGGTCATATCTAATCACCATCCAGAGCACAGTCTCTGAGTGTATGATTAGATAGGGATACCAATCCGTGCCATACAAAATCGGATACCTGGGAGGCCCTTTCTTCGAGGGTTTGTATGGCAGTCGCAAGAAGGTTTGATGAAAGGAAGGAGCCAGCAGGGTAGCAGCCATTTTAGCCCTAGACCAATATGACAGGGTAAGCGTACTAGTCCAGTGGCCACGGTCTTAGTGAAAGATATGATAAGATATAAGTGCCTTCCCGCAACTCTACTTTGATTAGATATGAGTGTCTTTCCGCAGCTTCACTTCGATTAGATAGAGTGGCCCCCCGAACTACATTTTCACCGACAGGACATATGCAGACTTTGAAGCCAGCAATAGATACATTTGAACAATGGGGAATGCCGCGCAAAACAAACCACTCAGGCTTTACCCATTTTCGCTCGAAGCCTGTTCATTTGTGAGAGAACAGACTGGCCTAAGTTGTGTTTAAGCGCAATTGGTTGATTAGTGAAACATTATTGTTGTCTAAGGTCTTGGAGCCTATAACTTGATCAAAAACAAAGTCCGTTGCTTACGGTTATCTACTAGCGGTGGAAGTCTTATGGTTGTGACCAATTGTTCACAATTTGGTGTATGATAAATAATGGTTGTGCACAGGGTGGGGCAAAATTACTGGTGCACCTATACGTTTTGAATTTTTTAACACTTCTTGGAGATTTTCCTGTTTCACTCGCTTGTGATATGTTGCCTGGAGGTTGCGTAATTCCTACGTACTCGAATACAAAATGGTCCGTCGTTCTGACCTACGGAGCGCGATCATCAAACTTCACAACGACGGCAAGCAAACAAGAGAAATTGTGAAGATCCTTTCCGTACCTCGAAGGACGGTTCAGAATACAGTACGACGCTATAAAGAACTGAAGACCGAAGAGGACAGGGAAGGAAGAGGACGTCCCACAACAGCTACGAGTCGGAGAAATGTGAGGCTCGTCAGAGAAAGAATTCGAAGGAACGCCAGGAGATCGATGCGCCAGATGGCGAAAGACGTTGGAGTAAGCGCGAGGTCAATGAGGAGGATTGTCAGAAGTAAGCTAAGGAAGTTCCCCTATCGCTTGCAGAAATGCCAACTCCTGACGGACATTATGAAGAAAAGGAGATTGGAGAGATGCAAGAAGTTGCTGCAGCGATTCACGGTGGCACGCGCCCGAGACATCGTTTTCAGTGATGAAAAGATTTTTACTCTGAATCCAGCCTTCAACTCCCAAAATGAGAGGATTATTGCAGGATCACTTGCTGATGCTACCACCAAGGCAAGACTCCAGGAAAGAGCGAAACACCCCCAGTCCATTCTTGTTTGGGGAGGAGTCACCTCTACGGGGAAGACCCCACTTGTTTTCGTTGAAGCTGGTGTAAAAATCAACGCAGAGGTTTACAAAAATATCCTGGAGGAAGTTCTCAAGCCGTGGGCCAACTCCCATTTCGGAGAAGCCTACTGGTGCTTCCAGCAGGATTCTGCTCCAGCACACAAAGCAAAGATGGTCCAGGAGTGGTGCGCCGAGCACCTGCCCGACTTCATCAGACACGACGAATGGCCCTCCAGTTCTCCTGATCTAAACCCGATGGATTACTCTGTGTGGTCCATCTTGGAGAGCAAAGCGTGTTCTACCAGACATCCAAACTTGGACTCTCTTAAGGCGGCGCTTTCAAAATCTTGGGACGTTAACATTTTTTGTATTGTCATGTTTGTAGTAAATAATATTGATAATTAGAATTGATTTGTGAGAATTATTGTCAAAATGCCATTGAAAATTTAGTGCACCAGTAATTTTGCCCCACCCTGTAGAACGCAGTTAATGACCGCGAACCTACCAAGCTGGGGCAGCCGTTCACACTTTTCAAATAAATGGTTAACCCTGGTCAACCCTGAGTAGGACTTCTCGTCACTGCTCAAAAGGGGGATGTGATTGTTATACGGTGAAAATGAACGACACTTATGCAATGGTTTCATTTCATTGTTTTAATCCTTCATTTCGTGAGCCCGGCTCTTCTCTTTTTATAAGTTTTCGCTTTTATCTCTGTTCTATCCTTGACTAATTCTGCTTACCACATTAACACACTCCCAGCAGCCAAGCAGGTGGTGGCATTGAATATTAAAAAGCAGCTAAGAGGTAAAGACAACTTTCTTGGCTCTTCTTGGTGGTATAACAAGCAAAGAAAGAATGATTGATAATCGCTCAATGTTTCCTCAATTGCGTCTTGTATGCATGTTTATCTAAATTTATGCTTTTAACGATCTTGGATGATAAGCTGACCGCTAGTTTGTGCAAGAGTGACAGCACCACTGTATTTTCTCTACCTTTCTACCGTTGGTTTATAATGTCTATTTCAGATATGCCTTCTCTTTTATGGAATTCTCACTGACACGTCATGTCTTCTGTTGCCTCACATACTTATTCAAGCCATTTTACTATTATTTTCCGTCGGCTACTTCTGCTTGTATGCTGTTTCGTATTTCTACGGTGATCTGTACAAACATTCGAGGCCTTTCAAGGTAGGCTATTTTAGCATAATATGGATTGAAACGACTGCAGCAACTTTTCATTTCGTGGGGCATTTACACTGAGAAAAAAATCGAAATTAAATACTACATTTCCAATGATGCTAATCAAAATGCGCACACCGAATATCGTTACCATGTTTTGAAACTAATTGTAGTAAGCGACTGGATTTCTTTTGCTTCTGAGATACTAAACCGGAAAAGGCTGAAGCTACAGCTGGTTGTCTGGCCATAGGGCCAATTCCGCTCAATATTGTTCTGAACGGGGTTTTGATTTTTTTCTTAAGTATTAACAGTTTCTCCGGAATTTTAGAAGCTTCTGGCTTGCGTTTTTTCATTAGTCTCGCATTTATATACATAGTTGTCAGCGTTTTCTTATGAAGTTGCCGTTAATAGTAAAATGCTCACACATTCCTCACCTCGAATTACGCCAATTTAAAGGACGAATTCACGATGAAAAAGCAACCCATTTCAAATTAACCTAGGGATGGTGAGTGGTACACGAAAGAAGGAAGAACCATGAGAAACGGCCCAGAACCCGAGAAATGGGACCCCTTCCTTGCCCGTTCGAGCATTGATGCGACTCTCCTCTTCAACACTACGCTCTCTCAGCTATCTAATCACTCGCCACGTATTGAACTACGGCGAGTGATCAGATGATCGGTGGGCGGAGATCGCCGGACCCGCCAGCTTTGAGGCATGATAGGTCGCCGAGGTCAAATTTTTCCATGCGAATTGCGCGTCAGTTCGCACCCTCAGGAGGTCCGTGGGTCCCTCAACTAGGTCAGTTTCCCTTCTTCACCTTCGATGTGAAATTTACCGGTGCTATTATTTCTGATTTTGACTATATTGAAGTGTCCAAATTTTCCATTACTCAGCCCTCAACCATTTTGTCAAGTTGTCCAAAAAGATTAGAAGAAGAAAAATAGTCATCCATTTCAAGTAATGGCCTGATCGAGGACTGATCTTCTCAGGCAAAAAATGTTGTTTCACCTTTCAGTTTTTGTTTGTTTTACCTAGAATGAGGATTTCAAGGACAATTATATCGAAATTTCAATCTTAACGTTTTTTTGGATAATTCCGATACCCTTCATTTTCAGTCTATTCAATTCATAGAGAGAATGTGGCTGGCGACTTTATTGCTTGCACTGGCTGCTTTCCAGACTTACCTGTTCTCATCGGTTATACGATGCAGTATGTACATATCGGTAAGTCTTCCAACAGACGGAGGCACAGGGTATGGTGGCCTACCCAAATTTGCAAATTTATACTCAGATGCACAGAGAGGCCACTGATAAACCTCTTCAGAAATTAATCAAAACTCTTCTAAGGGCTAAGGTATGAAATAGAAGGGAGGCGACTGCCAATCCCTCCTGTTATCAACGAGATAGTCTAAACTGCACACTCTAGTCTTGCACGCATGTCGAATGACTTGCCTCCCACCCCGCCCCCGACTTTCCTGGCTCACGGCGCTTTGCACTAAAGGGCATGCCGCGCAACAGAATGTCCCTCCTAAACTACCAAAGCTCTCTTTTAGGCTGCTTTAGACTTTGCTACCACAGTGCGTTCTCGGTTTCACCAAAAAAGTATAGCACCTATAGCAATTTTTGCAACTCTAGACTACTTCATCAATGGAGCTATATTTTGATTAGCAGTCTTACACGAAGTACCCCATATCTAAATAATGTTTGCAATGTCTCTAAACTGGACTAAAAATTGACAGGAAAACAATTAAAGCTCGTCATGCAAGA